TGCTCTGAGTGCATGCTAGAGTGAACACATCCCCGGCATCAAATACAAATAAGAACCGGTAGACGTGAACACGTCATGCTCTGCACTCTGAGCTCCCGAAACCGCGAAGGCTAAGAAACCAACCTGCAGTGCACGAGAGTAGAATCGATCGAACACAGGTGGTGGCTGGCCTCCCTTGCGGTCTCCGCCCGCCCAGACAGCAAACACAATACTTTTCCTGATCTGATATCGATCGAGGCCACCGGGAACTAGGCACGATCGCGAAGTGATGCTCTGTGCACAGCACTTCAAACATCGACCGAGTCATCCCCGCCCGGCGGTTGAAAGGTTGTGGGAACACCAGGCTCTGCGTCTTGTGGAGTGATCCTAACTGAAGAAGGTCGATCGACCCGAGCCGTTTGGGCATAGGTCTTCATGATCGACCTGGCCTGGTGCACGAAAGCCTGGGGCGTGACCGCTGCGTCTGCGATCACTTCCCCTCGGCGTTGATCAAGTGACCTACGAGGAGCAAACACTTGCCGCCCCTCAGAACCCGCCGCAGCCGCCACACCCGGTGCAGTCAGGGAGATCTCCGCTTTCCTAGGGGTCTCAACCGAAGGCGCTGACCCCGCTGGCTGACCAGCCAGGTCCCTCAGCGGCTCCCACTTGGGCTGAGCGATCGCCACAGCAGGGGCCCCCATTGTCGGCGGCAAAATCATCGTCGCCTTCTCTGTGGCCGGATCGTGGTACTGAAGGGCGATCGCCTCCTTGGGGACAATGCGTTTCTCCATCTTCAGCAGAGGGCTCTCGCAGGTCAAATGAACATTGTCCTGGTGCGAGCTGACATCAACTGCTCCGATCCGTGGGCCTGTGTCTTCCACAGACTCGGCCGTGACAGCTGATGTCCAATGAGCATGAATGCCGGCCACCTGCGCCAGTTGCATCGTCTGGTCAGGACTTTCAATCCTGGCGTAGTGATCACGACACCATCTGGCGTTCTTGATCAGGTCGGTCCAGACACTCGTGAGACCACAAGCCACGAGCTGGGCACTGCTATGGTTGAGCAACTCACGTCCAACCTGTCCTGAGCAGAGCTGAATCTGAACTCTAATCTATCTGCGTCGTGGCCAAATGAGTCGGCTGACGACACTGCCGTGAGCCGGAGTTCAAAGTGGCACAGCGGGAAATCCAATGCCACGACCATTCCCGACTCACTGCAAGCGTAGAGCTGGCCCCCGACCTCGAACGAGACCGCACACACTCTCCAGCCTTGGAAGATCGTCACTGTACAGGACGGTATGAACAACACGTCCTCCAGTCCCATGACCAGTGCGTCATTCACGTAGTTCACCTGCACAGTCATGTCACGATCGCTCTTGTAACCTCGAAACTCAAGGTGAATGAGCAAAGCACCTTCCACCTTGAACTTCAGGTCGACCCATGTAGCTGAATCGTCCCTCATGATCGGCCACCTGAAGGGCTGAAAAGCCTGGCGCGACAAGACGTCACCGGTCAGCGAGTCCCATCTCCCGCATGGCACGGATCCGTAGGACGTCATAGATCCAACCACAATGAGCTTCTTGCCCTCGAGGGTCCTCATGTAAAACAAAGACATGTGGTACCCGGTGCTTGGGCTTCTGATCAGCCTAGCATCTGACAGCACGTTGACGCCTGCCTGGGCATTGATGAGGATTTCATCGAGCAGCCATCCTTGGAAAGGGCTTGAGATCCTCTGATCACGAGAATCCACCACCAGCACTGAACGCTCATCTTGCCCAGATCCCACTTGCCTCAAGTAAGGGGGCAAAGTTGAGCTCAAGGCGTTGTGAACACCGCCCAGTTGACCAAACCTCACTGCCCTTGCCCCTCGGCGAGCTGCCCTCTCTTGTTGCCTTCTCAGCTTGCGGGATCCATACTGAGGGTTGGTCCCAGCCAAAAAGTTCTGAGCAGCCTGTGTGGCTGGTGCAGCTGCGGGAGCTGGTGGTGCCGCCTTTCGAGGAGGTGGCGGTGGTGGGACTGAGGCTGCAGGTTTTGGCTCGCTGGATCCAGCAGGCCTCTGGCCATCACCTTGATCAGCTGTGGCTGCTTGCTCATTTTGGGCAGCAGTGGAGCCACTTGCTGATGGAGCTTTCTCATCCTTCTCCACCTTGTTCATCAGGTCGATCGCAGGCGGGAGATCAAGGTCTCCAGGTGGAAGATCATCTTCGTCATCAAGTGGAGCCATCACATTCTGCCAGCTTGAGTTCGAAATATTCGAGACTGAGTCTTCAGGCCTGAGCAGGCGTGAGGCGGCCAAACTCTGCTGCCTTGAGAACGGATTGGCCATGGCTCAAAAAGAAGGATCCCAGGCCTCTCAATAGACCAAAGGAAAATTCAAAGAGAGCCTGGGTTGATCACCTGGAGCCTTGTAGCCAAAATGGCAAACAATCAAACAAGTTGATCAACCCAAACGTCAATAATAAAGAAGACATCTGAACAGCTAACTAGAGTAACCTGCTTATACCAGACCTACCTAGCCGAATATAAGCAACCCCGGTCCGATAAAATCGATTTCCCACTTCTGAAGACATTGAAGTTGTCTTCCACTACTTCCAAGAATTCACTTGTGCCTCTTCTGCCGTGTATATCAGTAGTATTATTCAATATTGTCTTTTCAGTTGGTGCTTGAACATGCATATGCTCGCTGCCTTTCCTTGAAAGTGATAAGTTGACATTAAGTTGACATTGGTTGCAGAGTCCAAACAGGTAAACGGCCCTTGCATTGCAGTTCAGCTTTCAATTTTACAGCTGGATATGATATGTATTTCATGCACTCAGTGCCATTATGGTCAAAAACAATATCATCAGTAGTCCTTTAGCATAAATGAAGTATAATTTACTGCGTTTGCCGTCGTTCCCAGTGTATCTCCTGCTAAGGCATCCAAAATTCCTGCTAAAGCATCCAAAATTGCATTTATTGCTACATTGGATGTGACTGAATTAGCCTTTATAATTTATAATCGAGTGCTGTATCAACTTGAGATTGCGTGGATATATATACATCAACAGTTGCTGCTTCCAAACCTAGTGCTGTATCTACTTCTGTTTTAGTACATGTAGTTGCTTGATGTGCTTTGAATCCTAATGATGTATCCATTTCTGCTGTGGCATATTGTAAGTTTTTCGAATTTCGATGCAAACAAATCCAATCTGGATATCCCTATATCAATCTCCACCACGACCCCCACCTTCTGCTACTCGAGCTTGAACATATGCCTCTGTGGCAAGATTGGAAGAACCAGTGAGTTCCAATTGAATGAACTCAGTCCCTACATACCTTGTTGAATCATCTAAAGGAATTAGATATACAATTAGCCTTTTAGAACATATGATGTTAATCTTTTTCTTTTAGGTTGTGCACTGGACATCTTTTAAACGGTTGCTATACTTTTCTCTGAGGGACATGGGACGTGCCTCCATGTGGCGAATGCCCATTCTCCAGACTTTGCTGCAGTCTGTTCATGCCTCTCTGGTCACGGTGGCGCAATGGAGGTGGGGCTCGAAGACGCCCAAACCTACTACGCTCCTCGCTGTACGATTGCCACTGTTGAGAGCTTCGATGGACAAGTGGCAACTTGAGCATGCCACCAAACTTGAGCCTAGCCAGATGGGCGTCCAGAACGGCGTCTTCAGAGCGGGAGAGATGAAGATGTACAGCGAGTCCCTTTCGGCAGCCTTTGCACAGGGCGTGTATGACGGCCTGGTGCGAGCGGCTCGCTACGGCCCACATCCATTCCTTGAGCAGTGCCATCGATCCCTTGGGGGCACCACCTGCCCGACTTTCAAGATCGATGAGCTATGCAGGACGCGCTTTTGGCTTTTGCTGCGCAAATTCGTGCTGCGGGTCAAACGGCCCTGACGCCTCTGAAATGAAATGAAATGAAACATGCTATACTTTTCTGGCTTCTGTGTCATATATATGCTCTTGGTGAAGCAACTGACTGATAGTGATTCACACTTCTGTAGTAGTTGCACTGTTGTTTGAGTTTGAGGGCTGGATTTTGTTTGTTGTCACCCTCGAAGGATTAAACACACACCAAGCAGCAGGTCAGAGTAGGGATTGAAGATTGAAGACCGAAGATTCCACTGAAAGCCCTGACACAATCTTCAATCTTCAATCCAGAAAGTATGCGTACTCATGCGTATTTTTCTCAGACCTCCATCCACTCTAAGCTCTAGTTCCTTTCTTCTTTGCTAGTTTGGCTCTCGTCTTCATCTCTTTCTATACCGCTATTTTATCTATTAACTATATGATCCCCCCTTTGGTCTCCAAAACACATCATCAAAATCAAACCAGAAAACACCGCAACTTTACAAAGGAGCGCAGGTTTTGCATGCATTCTGCAGGGGGCTGGAATTACAAAGCAAAGGTGGCAGGTTGTGGTGAGATTCTGGTGCAAAACAGACCGCGCGGATCAAATGTGGGCTGATGTCAAGCGGTGGGTGCCGAAGCCAATCACTGCCCGAAACAAAGGAGAAGCAGTGGTCTGTTGTGGTGCCGTGTGTGCATGTCAATGAATGTAGACAAAAGCAAAGCAGAAGAAAGCGGCCGAGAAAAGGGATTCCTTAAACTAACTCACTGTCTCAAGTACCCGGCAGTATATATATATATTAATTGTGCATCTCCCTACAATTGCAACTTCAACTCCCTGATTCCGCGATAGAAACATGGAACCAACTTTCTCAAACAATCTCAAAATCAAACCCAGCAAAGGAATATAGCCCCCAACAAATATCCTAAAACAATGTATACATGATACATGCCACCATGCATGACTATAAACACATATTAACAATGCCAATTTAAAATCACATATGTGTATGTGGGTATGTGCGCAAAACAAAAAGAATAAATATATCTATAACTTATATTTATGATTATCTACATCTCTATATAGGTCTACATACTATATATGTACTGTATATATCCTACACTGCACAACATCTACCTGTGACAAGGCATCCATGTGGCGCCAAGGCTCCACGAGTCCGTCGGCTCTGAGGCCCGGCCGACTCGAGGAGCTCGCGCCGTGTGCGCGGCCCGCCACGTCGGGGCTGTTGGCTGGGCCTTTGCTGGGCCCTTTCAGCTCGGACTCAGGCTTCGCCACTAAAGCCCTGACAGGTTCAGCGAGCGAAAAAGGGGTGCGCGCATGGCGTACTACTACGCGACGTGTTCACGAAAAAGGGCCCGCTTGTTTCACAACACACAAGCAGGCTTGGTCTGCTTGGTTTATCGAGCCTGGATTCTTGTTCTCCCCAATGGAGAAATGAAAACACATACAAAACAGGGATTGTGAAACAACATGTTTATACATATTTATGACGAACATGACTTAATTAAGTTAAGACATGGCAATTAACTTGTTACCTACAAGCATACAAGGACACCACATGCTTCCACATATGTAACTTAATGTAACTTATATAAACGTCGCATGAACTCACACACAAAGCAACCGTCCAGCATGCCATTTGGTCCTTTAAAGAAGTATGTGCTAGTGACTATGTGGCCTCGATTCTTGGTGATCTACTCTGAACCTTCTCGTGCCCTGCAAGGAAACCCTACACTGTGAACATTGAACTAGTGAGGTGTCTAGGCGGAAGGGTGGCTTTTGGCTACTCTTTCCTTCTCTCTCTTTCCCTTCTTCCTTTTCCACGCGACATCGATCGCTCTCCAGACCGGACCCACCGGAACGCGGAACGTGTGGCCAAGCCGCGGTGTCTTGGCGAGCACCGTGGCGCCCGTGGACTTGAAGACCTCGGAGGGGAGAGGACAAACGGCGTCTGCGCCGCCAAAAACAAGAAGTGCTTGGCCTTGAGATGCTAGGTGTTACGAGGCCAACGTAAGTGCAAGGCCAAACGAAGTGCCTTTACATTGATGTACATGTCATTCTACGTGATCGTGCTTGCCAATGAGTTAGGTTCGTATACGGCCAGTTGACAAAGCTGCAGATGTTTTGCAAATGCGTGTGGCAAACATTGCCGGACATCTCTCTTTTGGCCCTCCCCCACTTTGATCCAACGCAGTCTGATAGCAGAAACACCACTGCGCTGGGAAACCTAGTGAAATGTGTCCGTTGCCGCCTCTGCTTCTTGGATTTGTAGCCGCAAGACGACCTTTTTTCTCCAAACCCACATCTCTCGTTCAGTTCTTTGGAATTTCCCAGCGCCATCGACACTGTTGTGCATAGACTTCCAACTGCACATTGAAGCCGACGATTCCGCAACGGTGTCCGCGCCGGTGGTGAAGCACAGCTCGCCGCGTCGGACAGGACGATATGACACAGCTAGGCCGCCGGAACTGAAGAAGACGACGACTTAAGACAAACAAAGAAGCAAGGATGAACTCAGGTATCGCTACTAGTAACAAGGTGCATCGCTACTAGTAGCGTCCTTACTACTAGTAGCGATGCACCTTGTAACTAGTAGCGTTGCACTTGTTACTAATGTGGTCACTATCTGCCTCAAGAGAGTCAAGCTGTAAGAAATAACGGTCAGGATCCAAGCAAATGTGAAAGGCTCGCTAAGCTCGAGAAATGCTAACAGTCAACAACAAACAAGCTCACCAAGGAAGAAAAAAACACGACTTGATAACACACAAGTAAAAATATAAGCTGAAGAAACACACACACACACAAACACACACACATATATATATATATACACACATACACAATCATATAATATATAAAGACACACCAGCAGGAAAGGCCAAGACATTGACTTGAGCCTACAAAACTGCTAGTAAACAACACGTTACAAGCGCCAGCGGATGCAGCTATTGGCCCCTGCCCCTCTCTGAAAGACAAACAACGGGGTGAGCCCTGTGAGACTCAGACTTGTCGTGACTGTTATACGCCGGCATATGTCCTTGAGCCTTGGACGCATCGAAGATTGTGCTCTAAATCTCTTGAGACTTGAGATGTATAATAGACTTCTAAGCTAAAGGTTACTAGTGGGGATAACTGGGGAACTAGGAACCCAGTTTGTGACTACAAACAAGATATCGCTGAGAAAGCGGCTGATCCGCCATCGCGCCGGGGAACTGCCCGCTCCATGGCGCCATCGGAAACACACTTTCGTAGCCAAGAGTGCGGCAAAGGTCAGACCGGGTTGGATGAAAATGGATAGAAGCGGATAGAAATAAATGCTACTAGGAGCAAAGGGCATCGCTACTAGGAGCAAGGACGCTACTAGGGGCTCCTGGCCTTACTACTATGAACAAGGACGCTACTAGTATTACAGGAGATTGCAGGTCACACAAGGTCACAAGGTGGGTGAAGAATGGTGCCGACCTCCCAGGATGCTGGGATTCGGCTGGTTCGTTTTTCCAAGAATCCAAAGGATTCGTCGTTTTGGAGGTCCCCAGCTTGAGGCAGCAAGGGGCCAGTCTCACCTGTTTAGAATCATATTGAAGAAGTACTAAGTACACAATATTATTGTGGGAAACAATGGTGCTCTTGAATGGTATTGAGAGCTGGTCGAACTGAGTGAGGGTGCCTACTTGCATATGCCGCAAATTGAAATCACTTATAATTATAGCCCGAGGGCTTGTCAAGTCTTGGGCCTTGCTGTTCACCAACAATGGTGCCTTAATGGCGGCTTCTCCAGGCTGTAACATATACATAAACATAATCATAAGTTTATAAAGGGAGATCTGACAAGTTGATAAGTGTCATCCCTAAGAAAAACAAAACACAATAAAACACACACACACAACAAAAATCAAACTCTGCAGCCCTTCGGAGACTGTGGCACCTTGATGAGACTCCACTCTTCGGGAGAGCCAAAGCACCAAGCTCCGTTGGCTGGCGCTCAGCGCGCTGACCTGGAGACTGGTCGGACACGCAGCGTTGGGAATTCAGCTTTGTGGAGTTGGTAGGCCCAAAGACTACAAGGAACAAGAAGCTATTAGGAACAAGTGCGTCGCTTCTAGTAACAAGTGCCTTACTAGTAGTAACAAGAAGCTATTAGTAACAAGTGCCTTACTACTAGGAACAAGAAGCTACTAGGAGCTAAGGGCATCGCTACTAGGAGCAAGGACGCTACTAGGGGCTCGAGGCCTTACTACTAGGAACAAGGACACTACTAGGAGCTTTTTGTGTTGGTCTTGTCCTCTTCCCAACACTCGGCACGGGGATCTCTATCACCTCTCTACCTTTCCTCTATCCTCTAATTCTCACTCTTGAATCATACCGTTGCAGCTACTAGGAGCAAGGAGCAAATGGTTTCAGAGTAGATGGCACAACCCCCCAAAGGGGGGATGCCGCACTCGTCGCGATCCCTCGCCCAAAACGGCCCCGCCTCGGTGTCACCTCCGGACCCGTTTGGGTCAAACCGGGGAGGTCCTACATGAGGTGATCATCATATTGTTACTAGTAGCGTCCCCTAGTAGTACGGCCAGGAGTCCCTAGTAGCTTCTTGTTACTCTACTGCGTGAAGGGGGTGCCCTACCATGTTCTTCCTACCAAGTTCTACCTACCTTTAATCACGAGGATGATCATCCCTCCTGGGGTCTCTTGGGAGCGAATGACATATCATGTGACATCTGTGTATGTATACGCGTTGACTGTTGGGATTGGCCCATTGGCTCCCTTTCTTTTCCCTGCAGCGTTTTGATCAAACCTATCAGGAATATCCGGAAAATGGTTCAAGTTCGTTTCTTGGACTTGAACTTGGAGACGCCTCGTCTCGACGCCTCTTCATTCAAGTTCAGGGTGCGCTTGAATACAGTGCAATGTGTAGTAGCTGTTGAGGGCCCCCATGAACAGCCCTCAAGCCCTTGAGAGCTCTCTTTTTCGCAATCCACTTCATGCAGTCAGTCCGGAGTGCAGAAGCTGGGCTGGAGCAGTTTCTACTCCTCCAAAGCATTGCGTACATATATATATATATAGCTCAGCAAATAGATATACACTGTAAACATCATATCTTAAAGAATATCCAATTTTTATTTCGCATTATGTAATCCTTTGTGTACGTTTGTTTAATTTAGGAACACGTTGATCATTCTCGCTTCCAAACGCCCTCTCCAACGGGAAACTATGCATGCCGAATGCCAACAACACCCAAAACGGTTAATCGGTTAATCTGCTATAATCTAGAGCGTTCGCTCCAAGTGGTGACATGATGTATGATCAGAATCGGAGAATGATTTGATTCGCATCCAACGGTCCAGCTTTCATCGGTATTGTGATGTGTACCAGGGCCGCAAAAAAAAGCCCCGCGGACTTTTGACGCAGCCCAGTAGCCGTCGGAAAGAACCAAGTCCTCACTGAATGATCCTCAAAACCAACAATTTCTACCTTCAGGTCTTGAAACAAAGTAGAACCAACACAACGTCTTGCCGCTTGCCATCATGACCTCCACCTAAAAAATATCCTTGCTTGTTCACGTACTAACTCGGCTTCATCATCCTGAAAACACCCACGGAATGCTGACGAACAAATCGTGCAGGGATTTTTGGGGTTTTGGGATTCCTGTGGCCGCATCGCTTGTGGCTGATGTTTTAGGGGTGGGGTGGGGATTTTCCAAAAAGAAGCCATTCCATGTCATTCCGGTGTTGATCAGCTTCCGAGCGTTTCTTTCGGTCCTGAAGTGATGTGAGGGGCCATGCAAATCTGTGAAATACCAATGCCGTTTGTTGTTCTACGGTACGGTGACGCGTGCAGTGACAGAGGGCAATCCGCAGTTGTTTTTCTTGTTCTAGTGCCCAAGCAGCATCCGGGATGTCTATATATTGTATTGTATACTGCTATCTGTAGACTATTTTGTGTGTATACATTGTGTATACGTACAAGTCTCTGACTGAAGCTCGGCTCAAAGTGAGTTGCTCTTACCAGTTCTCTCCGTAGCTCTTTTCCTGGGGGTTGCGCCACAAACTCATGGCCAAGGCTCTGAAAAATCTCAAGACTCGCTGACTGAGTCTGCTGTGCTGGCTGACATATCGTGCCTACAGTTGCGCCTCCTCAGTCAATCTGTGCACCTTGGGCCGGCTCCAAGAAATGGGTGTGGCTCTAGTCATGGCATCTGTCAAAAACAAGCCTTTCGGCCATAGCCGCATCAAAGCCACACCCCGTGGTCACCTTCGCATCGGCAACTGTGGAGAACGGGTCTCTTAGCCAAGGTCACATGCTAAATTAGTTGTCTTGGCCCAGCACTTGGTAGGGAGCTTCAATCAGCTTCAAGGTCAGTTCTTTTCGCAAAGGCATCAGGCATCAGGGGCACCCCTCCTTCCGGGAAGCATAAATGCCAGTCAATTAGTTTGCAAGAAGATGTCTCCCAGAACATGCGCGCATATAATTGCATAGTACAAAACCTCACTACAAAATGACACCCAATGGTCTGGATTCTTGCTTGAAGGGTTCTGAAAGGAGCTCCCTTATGGCGCGGTAGATTGAACACGACCATCCTAGTTTTAGGAGGTCGAGGTGCTCAGGATTGTGTGCTGCCGTCTGCCAATTTGTGAGGCTACCATGCATGCCATTCATTTCTGATAGTCCTGGGTCAAAGGCGAATCAACGAATCACATTAATTAATATGTCATGTAGCATGTGTACATCGCACATTGGTCAAACTTATCATCCTGCGTTGGTGTGCTATCAAAAAACACGTTTACACTTGCTCGGCTTGATGAGGATCTTCGGGCACTTCGCATCACGAGTTTCAGCCTTTCAATCAGCATAGGCCTATGCCATCCTATGCCCAGCTGTCATAGCATCAGGCATCACGTGCAGCGCCCGGGTTGCGGGCTACGACCCGATCTATCCAAAAAAGGACGACCTATTCGTGTTGCGAAAAGGTCGCATCGGTACGCAGGGCAGCTTGGGAGTCAAGGGCACAAGTTCTAATCGCACGTCGGCTTCTGACTTGGCCACATGGCAGCATGGTGCTTGGGATGTTGGGCATCGGGCACCCTTCCTTATATAATTGGAGCATGTCCGGCTTCCTATTTTCAGTGGCAGCTGGGCATGCCGCATGTTCGCCCCCTCAATCCTAATTGCATGAGCCACACCAAGGTTTACTGTATCAGAGCTGTTGCGCCACAAGAAACAGGTCTCAAGAGTCATAGGAGTCATTTCTTGTTCCAATTGGACCAACGCATACGTTTACCCTTCTCTATCCTTTTCTTCAAGTGAGCGCCCGGCAAAGGAGGGCCCAAAGCAACCCCGCCACCGCAGGTGTCCGCGGAGGTCCTGCAGTGTCCCCTATTTTGCGGACAGGCCGTGTCCTGCCGATGCGTTTGAACCACTACTGTCACTGAGACACACATCATCCAATGACAAAAGGACCGAAAGGACCGGGGGGGCCACCGACCAAAGGCACCTGCGGTTACTACCGGAGCGGATCCGCGGAGTAGAGTCGCGTCATCTGTTGCTACCTCGGCGCGGGCTGCGTTTTCATCTGGGTCACATCTTCATGGCCATCCCATGGCCGTGGCCATCACTAGTATCAGTAAACTTTCCTCTGTCAAGTATGTCTCTAACATTCTCTAACTTGGTAAAATGTACACAATGGAAATGTTAAACCTGAAAACCACTGGGTTGTAGAGGACAATAGTCTTCCAAAGGTCCATTTTCAGGTTCCATGTTAATTTTCCCGGGTGTATCCGATGATCTGATTGCCAACTTCCTACCGTCCAATGATGCCCATGCCAAGGGAACCCCTTTCTGGCCTCACCTAGGCAAACTCACCGAGTATCGGTCCCCACTGAGGACAAATGGACAAACCTGTCTTTCTTCCGATGTCTTCCACACAGTCAAGGCGCTGCTCCGCAGACTTCGCGCTGAAGCAACCGAAGAGGGAGGTGAAAAAACCACTTCCTCAGGAGAGATGTGGCGTCTGACTTTCATGGGGAGAGATGTGGCGTCTGACTTTCATGGGAACAAAAATGAACAACAGTTGAGCGACTCACCTGCGTGATGTGTATGCATGCGAGATGTAAACATATCCCAAATCTATCCTGCCACTCCTTCTATGCACCTCGTCTTTGGAGGGTATCCAGGATCTTTGTACAATGATCATGATCACATCACAATAACAAACCACGAGTCAATTATACGGCTAAAAATCATCGGGCTACCGAAACCATGCATCAAAAAAACCTACTGTCAACAAAAAACGCATTCTGAACATAGAGAACAAATCAATTATGAACCAAATTTTCAAGTACAGTTATATATTATATATCAACAAAATACCGTCAATACAATTGTAGCTTGACTTCCTGCTCTACAACAACAGACCTGCTTTTGAGTTTGTGTAAAGTACGCATCAATAGCAACCCTGACTTTTTCCTGTACAATGATAAACCTACACTTACAAATTTCTGAATTGACTAGCCAATAAATATAAAACTATGGGCTATATAATTGCATGGTCTCAGCAACATATGGCAAAATCAACCTTTAAAACTAACTCAAAACTCAAAACAATCCGATTCTTCGTAAGATGTTCCATTAAAAGCAGAAGAAGTCCTTGCAAACAGTACCCCTTCCGAAGACCTAAAACATCCAAGTATAAACATCTGCCAATAGATTGCATTTTTCCAGAAGATTGTAATACAAGTAAGCGTACTCCTCTACACCAATAAACCCGCTTGTCTAGCAGGTTGCAAAACCAAGCCGAACTTTATAAACAACAATTGTATCAGTTGTATCGGTTTTTAGTCAGTTGCAAACTGTACACAATCTAAGATTGTCAAGGTTTTAAACAAAATAGAAACAAGAACAACAGTCAAACTTAATTCTTCCAGCAACTCTAAAGCCATCAAATTCTCACATCCTCCCCAAAAATAAGCAACAAATTGACAAAGGGTACCCCTTACAAGTACCAATGGTTCACAATTATGTAAAAACAACTGTTTAAAAGCCATTTTAATGTCATAGTCACTCACAGGTGGCAACAATAAACCGGACTTTTTCCTGTACAATCATAAGCTTCCTTCTGAGCTATTCCGGTGTAGTAGAAACATTTTTTCAATTTAAGTAGTTATATAGGTGCAGGGCGCCGCTGGTGTTCCAGTGTAGGATGCGTTCTCCAGCTTGGGTGTTGGTGCCGCTGCAGGGTGCTGCTGCTGTGTGTGATTGAGAGCTTGCGTGCAGGGTGCCGCTGCAGGGTGCCGCTGCTGTGCGCTTGGGAGCTTGGGTCCTGGTGCCGCTGCAGGGTGCCGCTGCCACTGCAGTGTGCTGTCCACATTCTTTTGCAATCTAGGGTCTATGCTGGTGTAGTTGATGTCGATCAATTCAAAACAATCATCAATGGACCAATGGAGGTCTATTATGGCGAGTAGTAGTTTATTGTTATTATGATGAACAAATTTGTTGCCGCCAACATTTCACAACAAATGAAGGTTTATCATCATGATGTGAACATTGACTGGGATCAAAGTCATCAACTCCTGCCAGCAACTTCTGGCAAACCTATGGTGCCCATATGTGAGCTGGAGGGCCAAGGGAGCATTTAAGAGCGGGTTGTCGGGGTGCTGCGCACTAGTGTCTGTGGTGCACTCACTTTTATGAATGAGCGAAGATTTGTAAGAACCTGCAATTTGAATTTTCCGTTTCTCCACCTAATTGTAAGTCTTGTACCAATTGAACGAATGTTGCGATCTTGGCCCCAAAGGGGGTCATTGATGAGTGGCCCCTTGGATTTGGTGTGCTCCCACCATCTTGATCTTAGAAGCCTCAACTTGGTAGCCAAAAAGCTTCTTTCTCAAAGGAACGCGCAGGAACTCGTGCAAACCGAACAGCTCTAGAAAAAACTATCTAAAACGTTCAGCATCAAAAACCCCTATAATATAATATCCTCATATAACCTCCAATGATTCTATGAGTCGCCCTTGGCCCAGGAGTGGCCCACTCGGATCTCTCGGTTCCCGCGCGTGGCCGCGCACCCGATCCGCCCTGGCCGTTGCTCTTGCGAGAGGCGACCTCGCAAGACGCAAGCGCCCCGGTGAAGCCGGCGACACGGCTTCAGCATCTCTTGAAGTCTTGGACATCCCAAGGTTACGGGGATCGGGATATGCGAGGTGATATATATTCTATCGGATGATGCTGGGTGCTCACTTAGGACTTTTCCTTTTTGCGAATCACAAAGCATGCCTTACAAAGTTTGGAGTCTCCTATGGTGCTACACTACTACTGAAGCGCAAGAGGTGCTCCCCACAGGAGCCCATGTTCGATCTCCAAATCTGCGCCGCTTCCGACTCAGAGAGTTGATGGGCCAAAGAAGCGATTCTTGTGATCTTAAAAGAGACTTCCGAGCTACGCTCATCCTTTCGCCGAACTGATTCTGGAAAAGCCCAGGAGAACAAAGGGCGAGGTCTCCGCATTGACGAGGCACGAATTCGACGACGTTCTGATTCGAGCATAGCCGTGCCCCAAAGAATCCCATACGACTCTCCTCAAACATCCTCAGACGCCATCAGTGAGATCTCCCCCAAATGTGCAATTTCATGCACACTCATCACCAAGGCTGGTTGTGAGGGGGTTGCAACATATTACAAAAACACAAAGCATTTCCTTGTGCCTGACCAAACACGAGTCGCAACCCTGACCAGCCCGGATCTTCTCGCCTCTGAGATCTTCTCGCTTCGGAATCGCTGATCCGTGGCCGCCGCCGCGGCCGTGCTGCGCATGGAGTCTGCGTGCCTTTGAGTCACAGGCTGTCTGGGGCCTGACCTGGGGTCAAATGGTTACTGCGGGATATGGAGAGAGGTGGTGAGATCAACGTGAAATGTGGTGGTAAGTAGTACGTACTCTGAAATCAAAGACCTTCAAGCCAGGAACCTGAATATTGGTACAGGTGTCTTTTTGAGAATAGTGATCTTGGTGTTCCAAGCTGTTTCTTGGAACACTCTGAAACTGTGGGATCGCTTTTTCAAGCCCTGGAAATCGGAAAGCCCTTCCATTAGTACAAAATAATTACTAAAAAGTACACTTGCAACAACATCGATCGGAAACTCGTTCCTCCCGTAAAATGTTGCGGATGTTGATTCTATGTCTGCTGGGATCGCCGCGGTTGGGTCAGCCTCAACATGAGGGGATTCGCTTTTCCTTTCCCTGTTCTTGGAATTCCAATGAGTCAAACGATCCGTGACTATCATTGACTATCCACATTCACTCTGAGGCTATGAGGAAAACGACATACTTGTCTCGCTCAACAATGAGTGTGGCCCACTGAAGGGATTCATATACTCTTTGGGGCGAACATCTTTTGGGGGAGATGGTGAAACACATTCGCTTTCGACCTCGGCCCGTCTGGCGCCTGGAGCGCGTCTCTTTGGCACTTCCTGGCGCGATGGGGCGCGCCATACGCCGACAATACGCCGGTAGAAGCAAATCAATGATCGCACATGTATTTATTCACACGCGGTCGACGAAGTCGAACGGCACATGGTGGCCATGTTCAGGCGGCCATGTGTCACCTAGCGACGCCCAGAGCCTCAACGAGGCCGCGCCAAGTCACGAGCAAAACGGATCGGCCAGGAGGAAGTAAAGCGAGACAAGTCCTCATTCACCCTAGCAGCGATGCTACCGCTCCAACCCATCCGGATGCATGACATCCTCCTGAAAATCCGTAAATGAGGACGAGCCATCAGGCAAAAATCCACACTCAAGTTGAAATGCCTTTGTATCGTTTTGAACAAATCAGTAAAAACACACAATTCAGTGGCAACAGTCGAACGAACCAGACCACTGCAGGGCACTTCCTGTAAAAGAAGATTGTCACCACCATCATGGTGAACAAACAGGGGGATCTGATGACCATCAAGACAAAAACCCACCATAAGCTCCAACAAAGAAACAGGACCCTTGAAAGAAGAGGTGATGTCCACAGCCACCAACCAAGAAATCAGGTCCCCGACTAAACTGGATGAAAATCGGCACAAACGAATTCCAAGGCTCGAAGTGTGTGGCCCGAATTGCGCGGCAAGAGACGCGTCGTTCATCTCGAGGCCGCTACCTAGGGAACCTACCGGGGCATCCTCAGCTTCAGCGCACTCAGGAGTGGTAGAAAGACTCACACGCGCTAAGTGCAGGAGGAAGTTCAGCTGTCCACGAGTCGCCGCTGTAGCCCGCTCTTCTTCATCACAAAACAACGCATGCACATGTGAAAAAGCAGGAGAGCGAAGGCTGTTCTGCCAGCGAGCCAAAGTGTCAGCAAAGTCATTGCCTCTCTTACACCAGTCAGCACGAGGTGAAAAGCACTCCTCGTCCGCAACATGGGAAGAAATCTTCTGCACTATGACCTGGTTCATGTCAATCTGTTCAACAGTGTGCAGAGCCTGGAACCAGAGAGATTGATGCTTCCATCGTGGCGGTACCTCCCGATGCTTTTGCAGGTACTTGAAGTTATCCACTGCATACTGACTGTCGGAAAAATGGTCGCCTTGGCTCCAGTTCTCAAAACCCACAAGAAGGCCGAGTGAACTGCCATGGCCTCCGCAACATCAATGGACTGCACCAACCCAGGAACAGGCCCTTGAGCCAATGTGCGTTTCGGTTCCATGGTAGTGACCGCCCAGGCTGCCAGAGCGCAAGTCGGCTTCCGAGGCATGCTACAGCTTCCATCCGTAAAGATAAAAGTGTGCTCAGCCAAAACTTGAAGGTCCAAAAATTCTTCCCGACGATCAGGAAGGGCGAGAAGTGCCTTCCAGTACGCCCATTGATGAGGATTGGCCGGATGAAGTCCGTGATGAGTAAATGCCGCAGAGCGCTGCGGCCACAACCTCACCTCTGCAGGAAAACGTTGACGCACTGACTCATAGATAGGACAATGTAGTGCCCGATGTGTCATAGTGTCCGGCACTTGGCAAGAATCACAAAGACCCGTGTGCTGCCCATCAAAGTGCGATTTTGCCTGAGAGGTAAAGAACGTGCCATCCTGTATAGTGGCCAAAAGCTCTGTGACATCCATCTGAGGGAAGGTCAAAGACCGAAATGAAGCCGACCAGTTGATGGAGTGAAGCCCTGTGAAATCCTTGCGATGACGAATCTTCAAACAGACTTTTTGCCGCCAACAATATTGCAAGAGCAGTTGAAGACTCTCAAGCGAGAGCTGCCAAAAATCGATACGTAGATGCTGAATCCACAAATGAAGCTGCGCGTCTAGGTACCAGTCCAGGAAGCCAAGGCATTGCACCACCGCATGCAAGGGGCCTTGACCAGTAAACCCCGGATTGTCCATGGACTGTACCCAAAGTTCCAGAATCAAAGGAAACTGATGCACCATGCGCCAAAAAGTTGACAGCACTTGCCATAGCTGGTAGTATTCAGGGTCCAACTGAGGCATCTGCATGAGCGACCAACGAACATGCGGCGAGGCCCCTGCACGATCCCAGTGAAGAGCTCTCATGGCAGCGGAGCGAAGCCTGTCCGTGGCCACAACCGGAAGGAGTCGATTGGCGACCCCATGCAAGACTTTAGGCCATGTGATGGATCGAATAGCAAGCATCTTGGCCCATCGCGGAGCGGAAGAGAACCGCAGAATGCGCCAGTGATGAGCAACCGAATCAATGCGACCTTGTGCCACTTGTGTTCTGGAGACTCGTGAATAGGTCATCTGAGCTCCCAAATCTTTGGCTGCCAGTTTGGTGGTGTATCCAAATTGCCTCAGAGCGTGTCGTGCATCAGCCGAAGTGGCCCAAGCATAACACTTGCCAGGATCAAGATGTATGTCCCAGGAGTTCATGAAGACCTGGAGGACATTGATGCCATGGCACAGGTGACCAAGACAATCAGCAACCAGTTGAATGTTGTCCACAAAAACCGGACAGGCCACATTGGAGCTGTAGACCTTGAGATAGGTATCGAGAGCTGTATTGAAAGCCAGCATGGCAATGCAACTGAGAGGATCACCTTCTGGAAAACCAGTGCTGGAGAGTATGGCATCGCCAGTGTGGTTGGCAATGCGAAAACGACGCTCAAGCTGAGAGAGAGCTTGATGCCACGCAAGGGCGCAATCTCTAGGAAAGCCCATGAGTTGAAGGAGCAGCAGGATGGGCATCCGTGGTAGTGTGTTGAAGCACTTAACTAAGTCAGCATTGTAGCCCAGAAGCTCCGTGTGCGTGGAGTAAGAGGACTGGATGAGCGCCTGCAGGATGTACCAAATGTCTTCAGCCCTTCTGCCAGGAACGTAGCCAAAGACCAAAGAAGGAATGACTTTGGCCAGGTATGATCGCAAATGTAAAAGCAAATGTGCAAATTCCATGAAATTCCTGGATGTCCGGCACAATGCAAGCTTTAACTTCACTCACTATAGTCACTATAGTCTGATGCTTTGGAGCGCAAGTCACCTTAAACTTCTTGCGTTGCCTGTGGCAGTGGTAAAAAAGTCCGCCAGAAGTGCCCGCGGACGGATGGGTTTGAGATGGTTTGAGTTAGGGCCCAACCAGATCGGCAAAGGAGTAGGGTGACCATGCTATAGCTTGCGATGAAGGAAACTGTCCTGCAAATAAGGGAACAACCTCCGTCTAGCCGACTGGCTAGAAGCTACTACCTGCTGGACGCAGGATAGCTCACGCTTCTTCAAGGAAGCTCCCTCCGCCCCCTAAAGGCGGCGTGGGGCGCGGGGGAGCTTCCTTGAAGAAGTGCTCGCATTATTCATTTGGCTCCTGGATGTTTAAGATAAACACAATAAACGTAATAAACCACCAGTACTACCACCAGTCTGAAGCGCATCTAATGACCCAGTGAGGCAATGAATTGGGGGTCGGATGATATTATTTCTGAGGTGTCATTTTAAAGACATGTGTTGCTTTTGGCTGCTATGTTTTATTACTTTTGGCTGCTGCCTTATAAAGGAAAAGGAAAAGGAAATGGGAAAGGGAAACGGAAAGCGAAAAGGAAAGGGAACATGCAAAGGGAAAGGGAAAACGAAAGCACGGTGCTCAAAAGCCAACAAAAGCCAAAAGCCTGAGAAACCTTGGAAATCCTGTGACTTTCTTGAAGCTACCAAAAGCCAAAAAGCCACCCAAAGCCAAAAAAACATCCAAAATAGGTATACCATCCAATGAACTGCCATTCGCCCCCTCTTCCAGCCCCACCTTGCCACCGCACGGGGGATCCCATCTCCTGCGGACTGGCGAACATGGGGAACTCTACGGAGCACTTGGTTAAGGCTAAGGTATGGTTTTCGCATGTATTCGCACATGATGCTCTAGACATCTCTATTTAGACATCTCTATAGACATCTCTGTAGATCTAAACCAGACTTCGGACTGGCTAACCAGGAGCACAAAACCTGAACTCCGGGTCTGGTTTTGGAAAAACCATGTCCTGTCGGACCCTTTCCTTCCACTGAGAATTCAGGAATCCTCTGCTTTCCACCCAAAGTAACAGCATATCGGCTTTTGTGTGTTCAGTGTAGTAGGACAGGTGGATACTGAATTGTAAATTCACCTGCTATATCCTGCGATACTGTGCAGTCTATGGCAGTCTGCCCGACATTTCCACGTGGCAAAACATCAAAGGACACTCTGCGACCCTTTCGGGTCACAGAAAAAATCGAACCTCGGCAGACCGTTCACGACCATTTAGGGAGCGTGTCACACCCCCTTTCCGACTCTTCAATCCCCCAACCACACCCGCCTGATCGTCCGAATGCCGGTGCTCACGCTTACTACCTGAGGCGGTGACCCGAGGGGTGACCTACCGCAGGAAGCTATTAGTAACAAGTGCCACGCTAGTAGGAACAAGCGCCTTACTAGTAGTAACAATTTAAATAATTAGAATTGTAATTACTAGCTTCTTGTTACTACTAGTAAGGCACTTGTTACTACTAGCCTGAGGCGGTGACCCGAGGGGTGACCGGGTGACCCGAGCTCAAGTGACCGCGCCGAACTTGGTGGGTTTTTCGGAAAAGAAAAGCCGCTGGCACTTCGGACGTGCAGCGTTAACACACATGAACACCCCCCAGTTCTCCTCAAATGTAAACTTCTAGGAGCCCCAAGTGGAAAGTGGTGTAGTTGTAAAACAATTGAAATCATAACTGCTCGAGAAGCAAGGCAAGGTATGGCAAGAGTGTGCAGGCTTCTGCACCCATCCTGATTCTCGACGTGAACATCTTCAAAGGGGCCTGGAGGCCATCGCTATTAGGTTGGAGGCCATACCATCGCTACGTAGTAGGTTGGGTATAGCTTTGGTGATCCAGGAGCACTGCACCTGCACGCTTTGGAGGCGCCAAACCGGAAGACAGCTGAGTCTTCCACCGACTTCCCTCACTCGATGGTGATCTTCTTTTGCTTCAATGACCTGGCACAGGGAGCTGAGGTTCTGGCCTCTGTTCTCCGTAGAAGAATCGGTTTGTGCTGAAGAACCCCGGCCCGGCCCGACAAAAAGGGTTGTGATGGGTCATGCGCTGGTCATATGCGGGTCAAAGCGAAGACATCGGGATGCCGCGCTACAAGCGAGCGCAAAAGCAGGGCACCGGTACCATGGACCCAGCATGACCCAGCTATCTAACTCACAAGGGTAGACCGAAGCTGGAAAGGAACATGGTGGAATAGTACAGCCACCCTCACCACGAACCAACAGGTACAGGGCCCCACAGGGGAGCTTAGCAGTTGATCATAGTTGATCCAACCAGGCACCCGGAGCAGTGAACAAACATCACTACCCCTGCAGTCAACGACTTTCTGGTTGAGCAGTGGCAACTTTGGGCACCAACACCGGCTATAGATTCCCAGCATCACCAACCGAGCCTGTTTCTGGAAATGCTCCGTGGACACGGACTCGGTCATCGTGGGCTGCGACCAGTCAAAGATGCCATCGTTCTCGTAGCCTGCGACGGAAGGGTCCCCAAGGCTGTGTGGGACGACTTTCATGAAGCAATGGGAGAGTGTTCCAACGTTCATGTGTGTTCATGTATGTTCATGTCTTTTCATCACATACTCATCTCGACTGGAGGACCGGAAGTGCATATCAGTGAAATGCTGGTCGCTATATACACGATCCAGTCACTCGGTCCTGCACAAGAACCTGACCCGAAATCCATCGAAATCCTCAGTTACGCCTTGGCAAATTCAAAACGTCAGGGCTTCTAGTGAGTTCGTAAGTAGCAAACCATGGCATGGCGGGATGGCCAGGATTGGCGCCTTCTTTGGAAAAGAGCTCCTTGAAGAGCCGCCGCAAGTAGGCGTAGTCAGGCCGATCTTCGAACCTCAAGGCCTAGGGGCGAAGCAAACAAAGCACGAAGGAGGTGCACGCGAACGGTTCACACTCAACAGGCGCAACAGGTGTAGCACGACACATGCGACTGGTCCAAAGCCGTTGAAGGACCACCACTGGTCCATAGCTCGGCACACCGGAGGCCACAGTCCCGGGCTTTGGCGTAGTTCATGTACGGGATGAAGATGGATGGGCAACCTCCAGCACGTTGCGAGAGCTCGTACCGGTGAATGACTTGAACTCATGGCCTCCCCCGGACCGCATGGCAGTTCAAAGCATTAAAAGGTGCTGAAACCGGTGAGGTTTCCGGTGAAGTTGTGGATACTTGTTGATCCACTTCCCTAAAATGAACATGCTACATGTAGCCACATGTAGTGCTCTCTCTAAATGGGGAGCCCCAAAGAGAGAGCCATTGGCCATCGTCGACCCTTGGCTCGAGCCCCGAACGGCGCGTTTCCGCACGCGCCGCGAGCAGGCAGCCTTTGCATAAGGTCTCCACAGAGGTGGACTGCTTGCACTCCATGATCTTATGATACCTGAGAGCTGAAACCAGCTCTGGAGAAGTCCTGAAACTAACCCGGGCCAAAAACCTATTGTCGTGGTCATGCCGGCCTTCAAGGTTCCGCGTCTTGAGGCATGCCCAACTGGTTGATAGCCATAAACAAGCACAAAGGTAGTAAGTAGGTGTAAGTAGGCAATTGTGCAACATGTGCCTTCCCAAACGTACACAAGGGAACATGACAACCTATTTAATGGTTTATCGATCCCCTTCAAGAGCCTGCGTCAATGCTCTCCCTTCAGCTTTCTCAGCTTTCAAGCGCCCAGGTGCTTCTCCTCCTTGGTGGCTGCCTGGAAGCCCTGCCAGGGCAGCTGCCCACGGCTGAAGTAAATGAGCACGTAACCTGCACGTTGCTTCTGCCCAGGGCTGGAGTTGGGTGATGGAGGGTGATGGCACAGCTGCCCAGCTTTTGGATCTCAATCTTCCATTCTGTAGCTTTTGAGTGTGTGTTGGTTAAAACGGTTCTCTATACCAAGTACATACCAATTTACAGTAATCCAATTTATATCAATTTAGACATCATCACCAATCTCAGCTTCCATTCCTGCTCGACTTGCTCCTTTTTCTCACAACTTGACTTTGTTTGAATGCAGCTCAGGCGCCAATGGCTTCAATATCATCCCGACGGCTCTGCTCAATACCGCGGTGGGCATTGACCTTGCATCTTCGTTTGATGGTGATATCAGCTTGAGCAAAGGAGCAAAAGGGAACAACTCCAAAGCCTACGCAAACATGTACTGGCACCTGACTTCCCAAAGCATGTTGCGGCTTAGATTCTTGGATTTCTTTTTACAAACTGGATGTAAGGTTGCCGGCCAGGTGTTTTCAGAGATTTTGGTCTGCACGCGGCGCAATCAACTTGATGCCACTCAAGACGAACAAAAAATCCACCGACATGGCAACAATTCCAATACTGTGAATGCTTGAGCACACCACCGGTTTCTACTCATCCCACTGGGAGACTGCGGAGCAAGTGGCTGACGCATATCGGGCAGTGCCTGTCATGCTCTTGTTGTCCTCGGTTTGGGTGAGGCGCGTTTTGGGCGCTCGACGGCCCGACGGCCGCAAAACTTCATGTCATCGTTAAGGGTTCCATGTCTTGGAACATGTGTTCCCAGGACGAATTGATCCAGTGAAGAACTCTCGAATGGTCCCAGCACACTGAAGGTGCCTTGGCTGCGAACTCGCCTACCTGATCCTCTTTGCGAAAACCGACATCAGAAACACAAGGAACCGCCTATCAGATGATCATACCATGGCCGAATTGGTGACCGAAACATAGCTCACAATCTGGGGCCGCCCTCCATGAATGGCATGCCCAAGGCACCTTGTACGGAATGTGATTGCACTTCGAGTCCCTGGCAGCATGTCTTGGGTTTCAGAACTTAAAACTGCGACAAAGACTCGGTCTATGTATTATAACCATCCATAAGCAAGGTCCGGTTTAAATCGGTTTATCCATGTTTATCCCATTTCGACCCGCAACACAAGATGTGCATGGATTTGACATAATATATTTATAACAATGATACGTATATATGCGTATGATACATTATGATACTATATATGGATTCTTCCCGCCTATACTTCTTGGCCAGGCCAAAGTCAATCAGGTACAAGATGTGGGACTTCTTGCTGCCGCCGATGAGGAAGTTATCGGGCTTGATGTCGCGGTGAATGAAGTCTTTCGAGTGCAAATACTCGATCCTGCTCAGCCGCTTCGTCTTCCGACCGTCGGTGGTTGTGAAACGGCGCCTCCGGAGGGTGAACACAGGAACCGACAGCAAAGGAAGCGACACGGGAAAGGTCAGGCACATGGAACGAACATGGCACTCAAAAAGACCTCTGCAAGCACGCACTCTCACTCGCATCGAGCTCCGCTCAAGAAAGGTTTAAAGTCCACCAAGGTCTCCTGTAGAGCATCTGATCTGCCAACATCAATAGCGTCTTCAGGCTAAACCTGCGCTCGCTGCCGCGCTCGGTTCGAGCGGAGCCGCTCGGAGTTCAGAACTCGCTGGCCCACTGGTGGGGCCCGACAGGGCCATTTTCGGAGGCCACCGACCGTGTAACAGGATGGTTTTTTCCTGGGCTCTGAAGCTCCAAAACCCTGGACCGAACCTCTCATGCTCGACCGGACCTTGCCTCCGCCGGCAGATGTTGAACAAATCCTCCAAGGAGGGGCCAAGGAGATCCATCACCATGATGTTAAAATCACCTGAACCAGATGCCGGGCGCGCCACGGAGAGACCGTCATGGAGGGGTCCAAATGGGATGAACCAATCCAAGTGGGCCGAATTTAGGCAAGCCCCTATACCTACTATAGGCCGGCCATCTGGGAATTAGAGCCATGACTCTCTTGTCAGTATGAATGTAATTGAATGTATATAAATGTATGTAGCGTCTGGCCTATGTCGTAAGGTTCAACTTATGCTTCCATTCAGGCTGTGCTTGTGAAGCCATGGTGTGGTCTTGTGTTTCGAGTTCTTTTGCATAAATCTGTGCTTTCCTTACTCAGCATGAATCTCATGACTCATGACACAACTCTTTCTTCTCAGATCTGTTGAGGCTTTGTGTCATCTTTTCTAAATTCACTCGTAGCAGCGTCGTCGTAGTGGATGTTGGGATTCGAACGGCAAAATACAAAGCATTTCCCAGTCCGAGCAAGACTGAACGCAACGTAATTTGTTGGAGGAATTTCCGTTTCCGAACCACGGGCTCTTCACTCTGCAAGCTTCTCTGGCGCGTTCTCCATTTGGCACATGTTCTTGAATCCCTGGTGGGTTTATTTCATTGTTCGGATCATGAGATAAATCTTGCCGGAGATGTGTCAATGGCAAGGCAAGGCCACTTTCAATAGAAATGGCATTCAAATGTGGGAACACCATGGAACACCTTTGCAAGAGCAAACGTCACAACTCGACTCCGCTTTGCGACGACGGCCTTGTGAATCTGAAAAATAGACCTCAGTGACAAGAAGACAGTCCAGCGACCAAGTCTCCGTCAATGGTCGCAAAATACTTGGGGCAAACCTATCCTTTCCTCCTCATGCTTCTACTTCGTGAAAGGTCTGGCTATGTCGGCTATGTCGCCCTCCCAAGAGACCTCTCTACTGACTCTACTGACCTCTTTCGGCAGTGTCTGCCTTCCAGCCGCTGGGGGCTGGAAGGAAGTCGCGCCCCTCAGGTGCTGGCGGATGCGAAGCCCGGTGCACCCTCCAAATGCTTCAACAGCTTGGCCTGTGATGCGACCACGGCGACCACGTACCGCAGAGTGCTCTGAGTGTCACCCACTTGGGCAAGGTCTGTCTGGCCTGAGGAAAACCCCGGCGAAAGAGATTCTAACATCTGAAAACACCAAGCTGGCCATTCCACCTGCGACTCCGGTATCTGTCCTGGCCCAATCTCCGACTCAACACCCGTCAACCCTTTAACCGGAGCTGGATCAATTCATGGACCGACCCAATGGCCCGGCTCAGCCCGTTCGCCTCATACAGAAGCATGGGGTGCTTGCTATCGACGCGTTCCAATTTCACAGCCAATTCCTTTCCAGTCCTCAAATGCCATGATTTGCTGCGCGCTGTGACATTTCCAAAGCCCTTTCACATGTCGTGTAGCACCGAAAGCTACACGCCCTCGCCATAAAACACAACAAGTGAAACATCGGGGCCCACAAAAGAAGCCAAGCCCGTGCTTGAATGCGCCCTTGTTAGGCCCTATAGGCCCTATGCTTGCGTGGCCAAGGCGGCCAAGGTGCTGTGAATCCACGGCATAGTAGATTTCCCCGAAGGAGCCGCTCCCAAGTTTCCGGCCCAAGCAGTAGATATTGCCCACCTCCATCGTCACTTGACGCGATGATCGGCGATGATCGGCGGAAACAAACGTCGAGCAGGAGGACTGCTCCAACGACCAAAAGTGGTGTTGAGTGGGGCCGCGGTCATGATGGGAGTCGGAAGAGGGTTCAAAGGTTCGAACAAAAGAAACGGAGACACATGATCAAGCACATGTTGTGTCACTGTGACTGACCCAAGGCCACATCATTAACCCAACAATTCGCGTGGGATCCGGATGTGCCTCTCTGAGCACATCTCGTTCGTTTTGGACGATGACGGTGGATCGTGGATCGAAAACGATTGGATCGAGGGATCCGAACCTTACCCAGCCGCTGCATGATGGATTCCTGCTGCTGACCTGAGAGATCACTGCTGGCCGATCTAAGGCATCACAGGAGAGGAGGGGGTAGACCTACACAGCATCAAGAGTTTAATGAATGCCTTGATGCTGTAAAGCATGTGCAAGCATCACCCTCAACCTCCAAGACTATAGATGATACAAATGATGCAATATGATGTGATATGTATCCTTTGCGGCTCAGCTCGTCTGCCACCGCTCATGCAAGGCCCCACTTCCACCAGCTTTTCGTGTTCGTCCCAATCATCTACACCCTTCGCTGGAGCGTTCCGCTTCGCGCTCCGCTGCGCATGCCGCGGCCGCTCGCTCCTTCTTTTTCTCACTCGAAGTGCGCCACCACGGCCCGCACGGCCCCGGCATGACGCTCCTCACACAAGCCCTCTGGACCATCTGTGGAGGAATCCAAGTGCCAAAGCAGCAGCTGGCCTGGGTGCCAATTTTGGCGTATGGAGTGACACTGAACAGCCACCCCGCTTGTGTGGTCGACGTGGCATATTAATATGTCAAATAGCATAATATATAGATATATATAGTATAATAGTCCCCCTGTATCCACTTAATTCCGAATGAGGTATAAGATTAAATAGGTGTCACATGTACATTTCAAGAGCCAGAGTCACTTGCAAATGGTTCTTGCTTTCTGACGGTCTTGCATACCTTGCGCGATCTGGTCTGGTCACAGCCCCACCACTGAGACTCGATGGCAGCACCGGATTTAGGCCTTTAGGCCTGGTCAACCTTCCCAGAAGACCAGGGACTAGGGATGTACTGGAGCTCCCGCAACACGTCTGCTTCTAGGTATTCTACCCTAGTTCACCAACCTCTTGGGCTCCAATCGATTTGAGCCAACACTTCGGTTTGGTGTCGTCCCATTGGGGGTGGTTTCGTATGCCGCTAGGTCGCCCTGCTGGCTGCCACAGGTCCGCCGTGCTAAGGTCAAGCGGAAGGGACCAAACATTTTGTTGACTGAAGAACAAACATGCAGTAGAACATGGTTTTACCATGTTTTACGAAGTTTTTTGGGCCACTTCCTGTCTTCGCACATCGGTGGCCACAGCGAGGAACTTTCAAGTCAAGTACAGGGTACATCATTCATGGAAACGGTTGATCCACAAATGCCTTGCCATCCAAGTAGGGGATTCCGGGATTTTGTGAATCAAACGTTTACATTACTTGGATTTGTGGCCTCCGGCTGACAGGTTCTGAGCCTCCCATCCCTAAGCCGTCCAGGTGGCCGTCGTAAGTGCCGCTGACAGCGCGGCGCGCGCGGAAGTCTGCGGCCAACGCGCACACTGAGAGTCCTCGGCGGCCTTAGCTGCGGAACATTGAAAGAAACATAACGGTTTTGATTCACTTTCCTTGCCTTTCTTGCAGTTGCATATGCCAGTGGGTGGGGGGCATTGGGGGGGCTGCAACAAATCTGATAGCCTGATAGTCTGATAGTCAACAGCAGTACTTTACACATTCCTGGCCCATCCAAAGTGGTGAAATTGGGAGAATCAGCTATGCTGCTGAATCAGCCCGTCAACCTGACCCCCGAAAACGCTAAGCCCTCCAAGCCCTCTAAGATGAGCCGTAAGCCGGTCTCATGCCCCACATGTGCCACCGTCGGTCTTGTGTCTCTGGTGGGTTGGTTGACCAGCATGTTCAACGAGGTGCTCTTGGTTGGAACGTCCTCCCGGACGTCCCAAAGGTGCAATTGGCCATCGAAGGAGCCACTCAGCGCTGCAAAGGAGAGGTCGAAGGAGCTATCCATGGACCAGACTGACATCTGAGAGGAGCCCTCCACCAAATATGTACAAACCTCAGCTGAAAGAGTGAGAACGCAAGTGGCATATAACCACTATAAACATCTATAAACTCTACTGTATTAAAAGCATGATTCACTCAACCTCTGCGGGAGATGAGATGTGGTCAAACACAACTTTCAATTCTTTGACCTTAGTTGAGATATGTTGAGACGCTCTCATTCTATTGCATGATTTCTGCGACTATATATAGGAGGATTCGAAATACAAAGCGCAGCAACTTACAGCAAACTGTCAAATTCTGGTGGCATCCAGTAATCCAAGCCATCACTATAGATTCCCTAAACCAGCTCATGTCTCGGAGATTTCACCTCCTATCAAACATGTCCAGCATGATGCCGACATACTGGTCCAACACATTGCCCATGAGCACCACTCCCGCGACACCGTCTTGTATCCCCCAAAAGCCCAGCACTCCTACTATAGGAACAAAGGACGCTACTAGGTGCGCTCCTGGCCTTACTAGGAGCAAGAGGACGCGACGAAACGGAACCAAGGGCATCGTTGCGGACGGAGCGATCGGACGCGACGAACGTCGTGAGTGCCAAGGAGTCAAGCGTCCGAACGGGCCGTGTCGCCTCGCCGTTCGGACCGGCGTCCAACACGTGGATCGTTCCCAGCGGACCCTGGAGGGGTTGCCACATGGCCCGCCCAGCACAGCCACACCCGGTCTCACGGAAGCCAGGCGTCCATCCTTGAGAGATCCCAAATACCTCGATGTTGCCAAAGCAACATTGGTTTCGGAGCTGCTGTCTTGGTATATCCCATGCTGAAACATGATTGAACGGTGTGAGCGCAGCCTGTGGATTGCACGTTTCAACATGTGACATCATGTCACAACACAATGTCAGCGAATTGGAGGCCGCATGTGCCAGCTCTAGTTGAGTCTTGAACCTCTATGTGTTGCAAAGTTTGGTCTCGCCACCTTCCTCATTATCCTCATTGGAGACCTTTGTGAAGAACACTTCAATTTGTCCATCCCACTACCGTTGCAGCTCGGAACAGCATCTGTGGGCATTGGACTTCAAAGAGCCACCAGTTGGAGCTCTTCCAAAGCACAACGCAGATTTCACACTTTGGACAACCCCTCCCGAAGAAAAAATCCAAACCGTCCCACCCTCCGAACCTCAACATCCGTCAGATCCGTCCATCCGATCCCCCGCCGCCCCTGACCCTCATCCGAGGTGCAATAGATGCCATCATCCGAGCCGCTGGCCGCTTTGGAGCGCTGGAACTCCGCCTGCACCACCTGCACCAGCCCGCGGTGTCGGCCTTCGAGGACGTGAGCACAGGACTCCTGGGAAGGGTTGAGAGTGGTCGGGGTGAGAAAATGGTGGAAAATCACCGAAACGGCCTCAAGAACTCAAGAACCAAACACTCAGGATATTACTGAACCACAAGCAGGAAAAGACTAGATGTCTGTAGTCTGCTGGATCTGAAATAAGAACTAGTGTTTCGGACCTCTCTCAATGTCCAATTTCTCGGCTTCCTTCCACTGAAAGACTTCGGTTCCTCCTGGAAGTCCCACACTTGAACAGATCCACCTTCATGTCCCGTCACCTCGGGGCTGCGTGTTTGGGGCGGGGTGACGAAGTCGCCAGGAACTCCAAGGATTGTTTTGAACCAAGATTGGTCTCCGAATGTCTTCAAAACAGCTTCCCTCTCCAAAGTCAAGGTCCACCCTTCTACATCGATCATCGATTCATGAGTGAGGTAGAACAACGCTGCAAAGAGGACAAGTTACTTCATCTGAAACCTATGCGTTTCTGATTGCAAAACTATGAGCCATTGATCAAACAAATCGCACCGACAAGGTCCGCATGGTGTGGGTGTCTCAAATGGCCCAATGCTCTGAGGCGCTGCAGCCTGGTGTTCGCAACTCGCATGCACAGACCAGGCTGTTCCGTGAGGGCATCGGAGGGTTAGCAAGGCGCTCCGTTGGTTGAATGACCTGGGTCGGCTGGTGAGCAATGAAGGAACTGGCGCCGGGGTAGACACCCTATCGTTTTCAGTATCTTATTTGTTCCCTGTCATGGATGCGCCAAATCCAGATTTCTGTCTATGTCTACGCAATGCATGGCATACTACTATGATCTATACTATGCATGGATTCTGTAGTTATGCATGCATACATTATTATCATACATTGCGCACGTCAAGTGCATAAAACGCTCGGGCTTGATGAGATTTCGGGCCCCTATGACTCCGATGAGATTCAATGTGAAACAATGTGAAACATCCACTTTATAGCTTGCGGACCCTTCTGCAAACAGCACTTCCGTAAGGGCCCATGGACTCTTGTTGCTCGAGAATTGCAACTAGTAGTAGTCCTCTGAGACAGCTACGTACCTCAACGATCAATTGCACTTGCTTTGGTTGGCTCTAGGGGTTGCAGGGTTTCAACGAAATAATCCCTTCCACCTATCAAAAAAACCGCACCCCTGTAAAAAAAAAGACTCGGGTGCGGTTTCTTAGATAGGGGCGTTCTGAAATAGGGGTGGTCCAAAATAGGGTCAGTGGCAGGATCCTTTTGAATAATCCTTGATTAGCAAAGACAGAAACCTGGGAAGAGCTTCAAAACCGGAAAGTCGCCTAGGAAAATTGTATATAAACTCCTTTATTAAACTCGTCATATTAAAAATTGAAAAACCTCCAGATCGAAGTCGAAGGGTCTTCCTTTTCCATTTGCAAAAGGCCTTTATTAAAATTGTGAACCTTTCGAACGGAGATGTCGCTGTGCCATGTGGTTTTGCGGGAAGGACAGCTTGCTGGTGCAAACTCGGCATGTCATGGTGGACAAACGGGGTGGACAAAGGTGGGCAGTTAGGCCCGGGTTCCTTCTGAACTGAACCTAATAAAAAGAACAACTACCACAAAGTCACAAAGTCGGCCATGTTGGTAGTTTAGTAGCGGCTCTACAGGGCGGTAATTCAACAAAACAACTATTATATATAATATTATATGTAATATATGCCGTATTTAGGGTTCTCTGATATGAGTTTGTTTACAGGTGAGTGTGTTTTTTCTGGTGTTTTTTTTCCCGAAAGCATTGCGAAGGGTTCTTCCGGAAAATCCTTTGAACACTGACACTTCGACACTCACACTTACACACACACACACACTGGAAGAGCGAAAGCATCCAAGTGCGAAGTATGCCAGTGTCAAAGTATGCAAGTGTAAGTATGCAAGCATGATATGCAAGGGTGAGTATGCAAGCATGCAATGACCATGCAAGCATGCAATGAGTAGGCAAGTGTGAGTATGGACGGGGGATGTCCTAATGAAAAAACATTTCCCCACTTTATAAATTCTCTCTTAAAGGCGGAGTGCGGGACGAACAGCGTCAACCGAAAGTGCAACCCTCTGCGGAGATCGTGCGTGTCGAGTGCGCGAAATGCAGGCGAGAGTGCGATTTGTCCGGTCCGCGCGCAACCCTCTGCGGAGATCGTGCGTGTCGAGTGCGCGAAATGCAGGCGAGAGTGCGATTTG